CCAAATTCGCCATCAGAACTCATCCGAACAAGGCTTCCAGAAATTATGGCTCGTGGAGAAAAACTGTTCAAAGAATTTTCACACATGCCGTACTCAAACACATAATAACTAGTAACAGATGGATTCATACAATTTGATAGTGCCTTCCATTTGCTTGAAAGATTACTCTATCGTCGGGCCACGCCAGATGACTGTCATTTTAAATTAAATACGAAAAATACGAAGGGAAGAGTGCAAATAATTGGCAGAATTACAAAAAATATGCAATTTTTTCTAAATATTTTTCAGGGGTGTATTGATTTCACAAAATATTGGCTTTATGCAAGGAAAGGCTGAAGAAGGCACAGTCTTAAGCATGATTAACTGTCATCGACCCATAGCTTCCAAAATTTCCCACTAATACATTTTGAATTAACTATCAATTTTTCCTATGAGTTTGTATAGGGTACAACTTTAATTGGAAGATTGATTTCATCCCATCCCTCAAGTTACAAAAATATCCCAATCTGGGATGAAAATCCCACATTTCCCGAGGACACTTGAGACTGTTCGCGGGCGCGTTCACGCGCTTCGCTCGCTCTGGTTTTCGAATGAATCAAATTCCTCACGTTCCAACACCGATGACTCACCACACCCCCCGACCCTCCCCCGCCATTTACCAGTCAGGTTGACCCGGTCCCGGTAATAAGGAGCGTCTCGGACTTGCCATGTGAAGTATGCGGTATGTGAAGCGGTATTTATTACTGGAGGGCACGATTATGACTACGTATGCAGGTGGGTGTTTTGTAGCTCTATGGGAAATTACTGATAGGGCTCTGGAATTGATCAGATACAAAGTTATCAGCAAATGCTAATAAGGTTAAAATAATGCAAATTTACTTATATAATCAAGAAGTAGGATGTCTGAATCCTCATCACTTTGTTCAATGGGATACCTAGTCAGTTAAACGTCACACAGATCATGTCACACCATTCTACATTCAGCCTTTGTTCCAATCTCAATTGATGATAATGATATAATAATAATACTAATAATAATAAACTATATGGGCTACTAATACATTAAAATCCATGAAAATCGTCAACAGAAAACGGCTTATATTTGCTATAAACACAATTTCACAATACATTTTATAAAACAGGAGTAACGTTTGCAGATGCATATTTCGTTTGTAATACAGTATACAGGGTCCTCAAAAAATGCGAAGGCAGTTTTTTACCATTGCAGATAATGTAACGAAGATTTGCACAAAACTACTGTAAAACTACAGTTTTTTAATCAATTATAAAGTTTTTTCACCACACAGTGGAAAGGAGATCTCACACAGTTTTAATCTGCATAAGGAGGTGGAAGGAAACCTGGAATTAGAGGATAGGCCAAATAATACTTTAAATTAAATGTTTTATTAGAAAGAAACAGTGGCGCAAATCCAACCTCAAAAGGCTCATCCTAGCCAAATCGGCGGTGGTTTATAATCACAAATGTATTGAATTATACTAAACACTACAGTCAATCCGTTCAGTCAATAACCCAACAAGATGGAACAGTTTATTTATTTTTTACTATATATATACAGTTTTAAATGTTTTCATTGCAATATATTCAATGCCGTTATCCAACTACAGTCACTTTCACATTAGATCCTGCAACCAATAACCGTTGCAGCCGACGGTTTGAACTTCAAACCTTCACTGATTCTACGAAACAGTCGCGGTAGACATAATGAATCGCCTGGAAAACCCGACACTCCCCGTGAGAGCGAGTGAGAGGGAACGAGCGGCGCTCTCTGTAGTGGGAGAGAGACGACGATAGTCTGGATTCAACTTTCACTGGACGATGAATTGGTATGAGTCATAGATCAGTGGTCATTGATGAATTGGGTTAATGTGTGATAAGATGTAGAAGGGATAATTTTGAGAGGGGATCACAGTTCGTTAATGCGGAAGAAGTAAGGTACTCTTTTAAATATAAACTGCTTTACAGCGAACACTTATGGTATGTACTGTTTAGTATGTGTAGGGTACGTATCTTTACTATTTATTTCTTGTTACGTGACAAACTTGAGAATTACACCTAACTTGTTAAATTAAATAGGTACGCCGAGACCTATGCTTTTATTTAAACAAAATGGTTCTCTATTGTGTATACTTTACTTTATACTTTCTTATAAAATGGTGACCTTACGAAGTAGGTATTTTAACCCAAGTATGAATGTAGATGAGTGTAGGATGAGTGGCGCGATCTTGTAGTGCGGACGTTAATCCAAACCAGGGAGTATCGCATCCGCAGTGCATGCCTATTAATATCCACAATTCGTGACCTCATAGTAGTTAAATTACAGGACGACGCCACCGTCCCAGTCATGGACCAAAAGTAGAAATCAAAGTTAAATCTTTCGTAATTCCTAACGTATAACCCCGTTGATCAAAGACACACGTTAACTTAGAACAATCAAAGCAGAATGGATTAAAAATAAGAAACACATCTCCAAATTGGCTCGTTTTGCACATCCAGATGAACTCCTGAAACCACACAATTATACTACACCATTTGGTAAACCGCTCTAACGACCCATTTCCCCTCATGTCATGCGGTAAAATCCAAAATGCAAAATGGCGTGCAAACAGATTTCCGGCGATTTTCCTCAACGCCTGAGGCAAGGACGTCCCAGCTAAATCGACCTTGTGTTATTATCTACATGAAAACCACAACAGAAACGCAAGACAAAGATGTGACGTAGAGTAGTGTGATGAGTAAGAATGGCGAAAGCTGAGAACTGACCGGGAGTAGCGGTTTAGCTGAAACTTCGCTAACGATATTCCCTTGGGCGAAGCCCGGGTAATCCCAGCTGTAAGTGGAAAACTACTTTCGTGACTGCAATATACATATTTAGTAAAGAGACAACGATAATTGAAGTACAGGTTGGACATAGTTTCATGAGACTTTTTAGGAGCAGTTGTTTATGATCTTTATCACAGTAATTTTTTTTTTATTGGGAGTGAAGTTGAGTAGGTCTGTCTGTTGAATTGATTTTACTGGTTGCTATCAGCCAACGCAAATTGAACTAAACAATGCAGTAGGCAGCACAAACGCAAACTATTTTCTATAGTTACTACAATTAATCCATCTGTAATAACCTATTTTGGTAAAATGGTGCAACATGTTTCGTTGTATTATTACTTCGTAAGAGGTATGATAGCAGAGTAAAATTTTGAATATTATAAAATGACCTTACAAATTCGAACTGCTGGATTCCGCATTCTATTTACTTTTAAATAGCCTATCAGTATATCTTATCTCCCGTCTTGTTTTTCTTCGTCAATAACAATCTTCATCATATAAATCAATAAATTATTATGAATCATCAATTATTAATCTTTGAGATAGAGACGACACCTAGGCGCGTATTTTAACCCAAATATGACTGAATGGTGGGTGTGGAATGGAGTGAGATGATAGTGTCTGTGTAGCTTTGTTACTGGCTCTGATCAGCTGTTTCATTAGCCAGGATCATTTATTTAAGCCCAGCTGGGTGAAGTAGCGAACTATCAAAACGCTCCTGACTTTTTTATCGATCCAGTGACCTTTTGATTGTAAGGCGAGCACTATAACCACTCGGCTACCAAGCCAGGTCGCTTTTTTCATTCATTCACATATTCATCAAAGAGTGTCTTTACATTTGCAAACCCAATCAGCGTTATCAGTAAGATACCAACAGGACCCACTACTTATGTTTTCAGCACAAGTCAATACAGATCACAAGAAATCAAAAATACATAGGTGTGCCTTTTATTTATTTATTTTTCTCTAGAACTGACCACATTCTACCACATTGCCCCCAGATACATAGTGTCGAGGTATAGGCTGCACACATACACACTCACATTGAGTATATTAATCGGTCGTAGCCCACACAATGCAAAGTATCCCCGCACAGACTATACTCCTCAGTCCCGCCACTACACTAGCGCCGACGGCGGGTCCAGGTGATATGACTCACACCGCGAAGGACGGCGCCGGATTTCCTAGAAGCGCTAGCGTCAGATTGACTTTTTATCCTCCGGATTTAGAATCGCTACATCCTGGACTGGTCATGTCTTGGGCCTATCTCTGTTTTGTTCACCGCAACACCAATTAGTTCGTGTCAAAAGCTAATGGCAACTGCGGGTTTATTTTTGGACGGGGGCAAAGACTGTGGGGGACTGATTCAATTGTAGCCCATCACAGGGAATTTCAAGACGTTTGTACTTTATTGTTTCATATTTTTTTAGGATGAATTGTGAGGTGCTTTAAAGGCAGAGAGCACAGAATAGAAATTCTATTTCTATTCTGTGCTCTCTGTTTAAAGGCCACAAACTAACACGGTGTTAAAACAATCTTTCTTTTGAGTCGATCAAAGCCACATGTCATTTGACTTCGGCCTATAATGAAACATACTACAGGAACATTTTACATACAATACCAGGATGTTGATAGGTTATAAAGTGGCTCAGGCGTTAAATATCCAAATGTCCTTTTTTAGATATGTAAAGTTCAACCTTCTTAGTATTTAGAACAGCTACATCCTTCCAGTACCTGAAAAAAACTAATCTCGTTTATTATTATGTTTATTTAACACAATATTTTACATTGCACACTTTGTCTAACCAACTCAAATCTGACTACACGTCGATAGGTATGGTAAAATAGCTATTGTAAAAAATAGTACACCTTAGGGGGGGGGGTGTATTGCCACACTCAAAACCTAATACAAAATCTACAGAACACCAGATATGAATCATATAATCATAAACACATTGCTGAACATTGGCTCCATAATTGTAAATATTTTTTTCTATAGGCCTAAACACCCCAAATCCAAAAAAAAACCTACAAATAAATATCCAAATGATTTTTTTATTTCAAGACTGTATCAACTGGTCACTCAAATGGCAAAAACTCAAAATTCTTTTATGACCACTTTTGAATAGACCAATTCAACATATTTTCTCGTTCACAGACCCCGCCGAATGGACGGCCTCCCACATAGCCTCGTGGCTGAGGTGGTGTTCCCGCCAGTTCCGTCTAGTGCCACGACCAGACCCCTCCCAGCTGCCTTCCTCGGGTGATCTCCTGGTGGCCCTCAGCAGGAAGCAGCTCCAGGACCTCTCCGGGAGTCGTAGGACTGGCAGACTCCTGTCCATGCATCTGGCGCATCTCCGGCATCCTCTGACAGGGCGGAGCCCCTCACCACCGTCCGAAGCGGAGGACGAGGAGGAAGAAGGTGAGGAAATACATTATTTCGTCAAATCCTTAATAAACGAAAAAAATCAACAAATGTTATTTTCTTCTTCGTATTACCAAGTCCGAAAATTCCATGTGCGGAATTTGTGTGACAGCAGTAATAATACTGGTTGGTCATAAATTATTAGACACATTTTAAAATTAATTAAATAAATAACCAATCGATGTAGCAAAACGGAATTGTTTCAAGAAATAGAGCGTTTAGAACGGTTTTATACAACTACTGCAAAAAAACTATGAAAATGTCAGTAATTATAAAAAGTTGTTTTAAAAAGTATGCAAAAAATCACCTGAACTGTGAGTGTAAGTTATGTTATCTTGTCAATAAGTTGTGAGGGGGCATAGTCAGCTGGCCAACAATGGACCTTTCTACAACAGCTGTATATGACATTTGACTAATCAAAAATTAGTCACTAACTGGGTAAGATAATAAGCGAATACCTAAATGACAACTTTCCCAGTCGTTCGATTGGATGGGATGGTCCAATTTCTTGGCCTCCACGTTCTCCAGAAATTACACCCTTAGACTTTTTTATGGGGCTATGCCAGGGAAAGGGTATTTGCAAAGAAGGTTCAAGAAATTAAGGAACTAAGAGTAAGAGAGTTTATTGAAAGTATTACTCCGGCAATGCTAAACAAAACATGGCCTGAGGTCGTAATCAGACTTCAGACTTAACGTGGAAACCATGGAGAGCTTGTAGAAATAGTTTAGTTAGATTATGAAAAAAAAACTGTTTTAAGTTTACTGGTTATTTATTTATGTAATCATAAAAATGTATCCAATAATTTATGACCAACCGGTATTATCTAGAATAAAATATAATCAATATGGCTACCGTACTTCATAACAGTTGTAAACTCTTCTACGGCCAAACTTTACGGAATCGTCATAAAAGTTTAATTATTACAACCAAGTGCAGTTAAGATATTTGATTGAGCAGTCCCAGCCATATCAATGGACACCCAGGGTGTTGAATCCGTGGGATTTAGCGTGAAGGGTGACTTGTAGGGTGATGTTGATTATGATCGCTGCAATAACCACGACTGAGGCTAGGGCCACACTTGGCGACTTTGTCGCGGCGACAAAGTCGCTGCGTCAATGAATGAAAGTGCGTAGCTTTAAATTAAATGGAGGCGGCCACACTAAGCGACTCGCGACCTGCGACCACCGGAAACAGAAAAACAAACGCGACCGGGAGCGTTTTTCGGTCTCGGCGACAAATACGCTCCCCATGTTATCTTATGGCACCGGCCATACTAGGCAACAAGTCGCTCGCTCACACACCCTTGCTGCTCTATTTGCATAGCTATATTGTACAGTTATGGACTGGATTTGTTAAATGGTAAATATGCTTTTAAAATACTAATATTGTCATCGACAAAATAAGTGTTGACATGTTAACATGTGTGCTGTAGGAGATTTAACTCTTCTGGTATAATAGGAATCCAAAATCTCGTGTATTTTTCAAATGTTGTGCGTCGTCTTCAATGTCAGTAGCTCGCCAAAGCTATGTTCATCCAAAATATAACTAAAAATTTACAAAATTAAAATACGCCATCCATAAACGATAGTTTTAGGGAATTCACTCCATACCTATGTTTCTCTTATCCGCTATAGGGAATAAGCTATTCGATTTGATTTTTCGTTTTGAGGTCCTCAGAGGCAAAAACACCCACCGTTCAAATTCATATATACGTAATATGTATTTACATATACAGTGTATACATTTAGGTCTATGTGCCAATTAGCGCGATAACTTGAGCAAAAATGATGAAATTTTAGTGGAATTTGGTACAAATGTTAAAACCAACGTTAATTCAAACGTGCTCGCAAATCAAAATGATCGGACCATGGGAATGGGAGGTTTAAGGGGCTTTAAGTTTAATGGGGTATAAAATTGTTTTTTCTTAGTTTTGACCCTTAAACATAAATTTCACAATTTCCTTCCAAACTGTTTTGTTGAGCTAAAAAAATGATTTTGTTAATTGAAGCGTTGTTGTAAACCTAACGGTTACGGAGATAATTTAAACAATTATAAATTTAAAATGTCCATTTTGATGAAGAATACACTGTTTTAGTTCGCTTGTTTATGGATATATTTTCATAAATTATAACAGTATTTTAATAAATATTTTTAATTTCATACTAAGCCATCAAAATTTAAATTAACAAGCACACCTCATTAGGTTACCTTATTTGTCACAGTAAACCTTAGCATTAATTTAAATTCATCTGATTTAAATAGGAAATAAATCCAACAAGTTTAAAGTGAATATTTTAGTGGAAATCTAGCCAAACAAATGTAAATTCGCTTAGTCTGCAGGTTTGTTGCGGCGGGGGTATTTAGATATAAAATAAATAGCGATAGAGATATTAAACAGAGGATTTGACGACGTAGACGTCCACATTGGTTTTCAAAACATAGTTTAACACATTAATTTAGTAAAATTGTATTTCCTTTGTTGCAGGCAAATGGTTAAAAACTATTACGTGACCTAGTACGAAATATAAAGAGGCGCCGGTGCACGTATGAAAATACTATAACGATATGATTTAATTTGTAGAAGATTCACTTAAATCTTATGGTACTGCAATTAATAGTAAAAACATCGATTTATTCTAAGATGGTAAAAAAACGTACAAAAATGGTCATAGATCCTAATTTATTTCCATAATCAATGACACGATTTTGAAAATACAATATAACATCTCGAAACTCTATTTTTACTGGTATGGAAAAAAGTAAACTGAAAGGTTGAAATTGTCGCCTACTGTGGCCACCCCCAGCGACTTTGTCGTCGCGACAAAGTCGCGGGAAAAAAGTCGCCGCGACAAAGTCGCCAAGTGTGGCCCTAGCCTCAGGGTGATAGGACCCGTGACCTTGGGCGATTACTGATAAGCCTGATAAGCCAGGGTCTGACAGGGTGACTCTGTTATTGTATTAGGCTAGGGCCACACTTGGCGACTTTGTCGCGGCGACTTTTTTCCCGCGACTTTGTCGCGACGACAAAGTCGCTGGGGGTGGCCACAGTAGGCGACAATTTCAACCTTTCAGTTTACTTTTTTCCATACCAGTAAAAATAGAGTTTCGAGATGTTATATTGTATTTTCAAAATCGTGTCATTGATTATGGAAATAAATTAGGATCTATGACCATTTTTGTACGTTTTTTTACCATCTTAGAATAAATCGATGTTTTTACTATTAATTGCAGTACCATAAGATTTAAGTGAATCTTCTACAAATTAAATCATATCGTTATAGTATTTTCATACGTGCACCGGCGCCTCTTTATATTTCGTACTAGGTCACGTAATAGTTTTTAACCATTTGCCTGCAACAAAGGAAATACAATTTTACTAAATTAATGTGTTAAACTATGTTTTGAAAACCAATGTGGACGTCTACGTCGTCAAATCCTCTGTTTAATATCTCTATCGCTATTTATTTTATATCTAAATACCCCCGCCGCAACAAACCTGCAGACTAAGCGAATTTACATTTGTTTGGCTAGATTTCCACTAAAATATTCACTTTAAACTTGTTGGATTTATTTCCTATTTAAATCAGATGAATTTAAATTAATGCTAAGGTTTACTGTGACAAATAAGGTAACCTAATGAGGTGTGCTTGTTAATTTAAATTTTGATGGCTTAGTATGAAATTAAAAATATTTATTAAAATACTGTTATAATTTATGAAAATATATCCATAAACAAGCGAACTAAAACAGTGTATTCTTCATCAAAATGGACATTTTAAATTTATAATTGTTTAAATTATCTCCGTAACCGTTAGGTTTACAACAACGCTTCAATTAACAAAATCATTTTTTTAGCTCAACAAAACAGTTTGGAAGGAAATTGTGAAATTTATGTTTAAGGGTCAAAACTAAGAAAAAACAATTTTATACCCCATTAAACTTAAAGCCCCTTAAACCTCCCATTCCCATGGTCCGATCATTTTGATTTGCGAGCACGTTTGAATTAACGTTGGTTTTAACATTTGTACCAAATTCCACTAAAATTTCATCATTTTTGCTCAAGTTATCGCGCTAATTGGCACATAGACCTAAATGTATACACTGTATATGTAAATACATATTACGTATATATGAATTTGAACGGTGGGTGTTTTTGCCTCTGAGGACCTCAAAACGAAAAATCAAATCGAATAGCTTATTCCCTATAGCGGATAAGAGAAACATAGGTATGGAGTGAATTCCCTAAAACTATCGTTTATGGATGGCGTATTTTAATTTTGTAAATTTTTAGTTATATTTTGGATGAACATAGCTTTGGCGAGCTACTGACATTGAAGACGACGCACAACATTTGAAAAATACACGAGATTTTGGATTCCTATTATACCAGAAGAGTTAAATCTCCTACAGCACACATGTTAACATGTCAACACTTATTTTGTCGATGACAATATTAGTATTTTAAAAGCATATTTACCATTTAACAAATCCAGTCCATAACTGTACAATATAGCTATGCAAATAGAGCAGCAAGGGTGTGTGAGCGAGCGACTTGTTGCCTAGTATGGCCGGTGCCATAAGATAACATGGGGAGCGTATTTGTCGCCGAGACCGAAAAACGCTCCCGGTCGCGTTTGTTTTTCTGTCGCCGGTGGTCGCAGGTCGCGAGTCGCTTAGTGTGGCCGCCTCCATTTAATTTAAAGCTACGCACTTTCATTCATTGACGCAGCGACTTTGTCGCCGCGACAAAGTCGCCAAGTGTGGCCCTAGCCTTAGGGAAGGGAGAGAATCTCTTCTCGATCGTTTGGCACTTAATTTAATACAACTGTAACTGAAGTGTTGAGGGTAGTTTAAAAAAATATTTTATATAAGTATATTTGTTATTAATGCATTTTTACCTCACCCTCATGATTTATTTCTGTATCGATACATTACTATTACTTTTACTCGTGCATCGCAACGAGGTTAAATTACGAAGGCAAACAATTGATATTAT